TTATGAGGATTTTACTGTACTGTCAATAAAGCAATGAAGTTACATAAAATGAGTATTTTTATCCTTATACTTCAAATAAAGTTCTGAGATATTTGTAATGGGTTTGATAATCTGTCTTGTATTGCTATATTTTACCTGTATTGTTTCTTACCCATGTCTATATACACAATAAGTATCAATGAAAGAAGATGTGAAGTCAATGACAATCAAACAGCACCCAAATCATTACAAAATTAGATTTCCCTAATGGGTCTTATTTTTTAACCCAAAGTGGAAGCTAGTGGCTCCAAGGATCCTGCATTGCTCCCCTACCATTTTTGTATAGAATTGATACAATGCAACAAGAATATTTGTGTTGAATGGAAACTTTGTTGACCAAAATCTTGTCTTGCTGATCATTTTTGCTGGACAAAGTGTTTATCCACTACAGTTTTCAAAACAATTTGCCAATTTAAAACTTTACCTTCCTAAGGTTTGGCAAAAACACAAAAATGAGTTAAAATCATCATTCAAGGGCAATAACTACATGTACTATAAGTTATCAACTGACTATTTCAACCATATGACTTATTTGAAGATATTGTCCTGTAGATCATTTTTGTTAATTATACTTCTTATCTACCATAGTTTCTGCCAAAAAATAACAAAACAATTGGTTAAAAAATATGTCATTCAAGGGCAATAACTCTAATAAGGAGTCAACTGACTATTTCACGCATAATGTTTTTTTGTAGATCTTGTCTTTAAGATCATTTCTTCTATTTACACATGTTATCTACCATAGTTTCTGAAGAAGAAAAAAAACAAAAATGGGTAAAAAATGCATTTCTAGAGTAATAACTCCTGCAAGGAATTGACTGATGATTTCCATCAAGTTGACTTCTTATCAATTCTTGTCCTGCAGATAATTTTTGCTATCTATGGTTTTTCTATATATATCACAGTTTTCATGATGACAGCCAAAATTGCTTAAAAATTGTTAAAAGTAGTTATTTAAAGACATAAAGAGTAGTCTGACAATTTTGGTCAAAATGGACAGTAGGTAGATTTGGAAATTCTCAACATTCTGTTTGTGTCAAATTTACTCTTACCCATAAAACGGTTTTCAATATGTTATAGACAACACTTGCATTTGACCCTTGTGTTCTTTTTAATATCATTGCAGCCATGTTGCTTGGCAGTTGTGTTCATCGAACACAATTTTTTTTAACTAAAAACCCCAAAGATGTGTGTGGTCAAGTTTGGTTCAAATTTAAAAGCTTACAAACAACAAACTACGACAGACAATGACGACAGTCGAAGGACACCAAGTAATGAGAATAGCTAACACTGGCCCTTTGATCCAGGTGAGCTTAAGTGAACTGTGGAGGTTCCTTTTCAACATCGTTTTACTTTACTTTCACCTTTGCATGATAAGTATTAATATTTTAGGAAAACCAAGTTAATTTGGGTCCAATTAAGGACCCCAAAATAAGGGGAACCTATTGCATTGCTTTGTACGTTATGGACATATCCTGTGTATCCCATGGCAACATCTAAAGTCTTTATTAAAATGCTTGTACTCTGTACAAATTTTAAACCTTGATATATAAAACTTGATCTATTCACTATTTAAAAATCAATCAATGTGCAGTGCTATTTTAGACTTTTTTTCTGGTTATATAGTCTTAGATATCATTTTACCTTTTTAGTTGTAGACAATTATATAATTGATACATTTACTTAGAAATGAATTTTTCATGAATTGATTGACGTAAGCACGATTGTCATATGCATTTAAACTTAATAAATACAGTATCTTTTATCTAGGCTTCTACCCATAGATATTCAAAATGTTTCAAACTAAAGAATTTCTGTGCAATTTGTGAATAGTGGTTTTATATCGCTAAACCACACAGAAGGAAGCAAGTCTCTACATGTTATACAGGACACTGAGATTGTACAACTCTCAAGCACTTCTGTACATATTAGGATATTGAGATTGCACAACTCTCAAACACTTTTGTACATTTTAAGACATTGAGATAGTGACACTCTTAAGCACTTCTGTATATCTTAAGACATTGAAATTGTACAAATCTTAATCACTTTTGTACATCTTAAGACATTGAGATTGTGACACTCTTAGGCACTTCTGTACATCTTGAGACATTGAGATTGTGACACTCTTAAGCAGTTCTGTACATATTCACACCAGTATAGCCAGAAGGTGGGGGTTTAGGGGTTCACAGCGGCCAACTCTGGAAACCAAAAAAATACCATTAAAGACTTTTAAAGTCAAGATTTAGATTGAAGTTTGACCATTAATGTCAGAGCATCCTGACCCAAAATAACCCCTTAAGAGACATCCTGGCTTGATCTGAAGAAAATGAGATTGTACCAATCTGAAGCACTTGTGTACATCTTTAGACATTGGGATTATAGCACTCTGAAACACCCCTTTACATTTTGAAACATTGAGATTGTGACACTGTAAGCACATCTCTAAATATTAAAACATTGAGATTGTGACACTGTAAGCACATCTCTAAAGATTAAAACATTGAGATTTTGACACTGAAAGCACATCTCTAAAGATTAAAAATTGAGATTTTGACACTGTAAGCACATCTCTAAAGATTAAAACATTGAGATTGTGACACTGTAAGCACATCTCTAAAGATTAAAACATTGAGATTGTGACACTGTAAGCACATCTCTAAAGATTAAAACATTGAGATTGTGACACTGAAAGCACATCTCTAAAGATTAAAAATTGAGATTTTGACACTGTAAGCACATCTCTAAAGATTAAAATATTGATATTGAACCTCAATGAAGCAGTCAAAGACTATTAACTTACTATTTGTGCAGAAAATAGAATTGTCTTTGGATAAAGATTTTCCTTTTTCAGACCTCTTTTTTTTTTTTAAAACAAGAATGTTTTACTTTTGTAGTTACTATCCCGGTTGCTATTTTTTTGCAATGTCAATAACATTGAATACTAAAACTGCAGCAAAATAATCAGAATAATGCTTATAACATAATCACTTTGCTTCAGATAGAAAGATTTTTTTCAATCTAAACTCAAATTGTCATAAATGTTTTAATACTATATATCCAATAATCAGCCTGCCTCTGGAAAATAGTTTAACATTATTTTCCCATCAATCCTGTTGGGTAAGAAACTCAACTGAATGCTAAACACCTATGTTTTATGTGACAAAACAATGTTCAAACCATTCACACTAATGAAACAATCTAAAAATTACATTATATTCAAACTGCATCAAGTTCAAAGTAAATTATTGTAAACTGAAAAAGAACAAGATTGCTATTCTAAGCGAAATATCCCCTTCGGCTGTGTAAATAAAAAATAAAATTGTGTGTACATTATAGAGCATAGATTACTGTATAAAGTGTATTTCAAGCTGTTGTATTTGTTGGCTGTTATCTAATAGACCAAACATGGTCAACAATACAGGATTGCAAACTATCCTACCACATATGAGTGCTTTCTGTTAAACAATCTCAGAGGAATTGCATTTAAAAGGTGTCATTGTGGTAGGATAGTCCAAAAAGTCCAAGGTAAATAACTCCTGTAAAAATGGTCGAAATTTGGAGGTCTCTTATGGTTAACTATACATGATGGCAAACAATCCTATCAAGTATGAGAGCTTTCTCTAAAATGGTCTCAGGAGTTGCATTTACAAGGTGTCATTGTGTTACATTATAGTCTAAAAATGGTCAAAAGCCCATGGTAAACTGTTGACACAAAGACATGTCTCGGCTGTTGGTAGAAAAATTCAGAATAAACTGCTTCGCCGAGCACAGCTGGATACGACCGCAGAGGTCCAACCATGAACAGTTGATGCAAAAAATAGACACAATATTCAAGCTTGATACAGGTCTGAATTTGGATTGTAATTAAATATTTGACACATAATAGGTTTCTGACACAGAATAACTGTAGTCAAAGAACTTAGAATTGGTTATATGATTTGAATTTATATTCAATTTTTTGCTTTTGTGCAATACACTATGCTGTTGCAAATTGACCCCCCCCCCCCCCCCCTAAAAAAAAAAAATATTTGAAGAAATTTTCTTTTTAATTTCTGAAATCTGAAATGAGTAAAAATGCCCCCCCCCCCCCAATTTTTTTTCACCCCCCCCCCCTTTTTCCAAAAAAAAATGGAGTTTGCAACCATAATTACCCATTTAAATACATCATAAAAATGATGACATACATAATCATGGCTAAAATTAATATTCCTTAATCAGCATTTTTAAATAGTAACTTCTAAAAATAAATTGACAGCTACCTTTCTTTATACATAATTTAAAAGCAGTGTAAGGGAGGTAATCCAAACATAACATTGTACTTTTTTTTAATTGTCCATTAACCAGGAAACCCTTGTTTTTCCCCCTTTTTTACCCCTAATTCCTAAACGGTTTGAGCCATAACCCCCCAAAGCCAATCCTAACCATCCCTTTGTGGTATGGAAACTTGTGGTATAATTTCAGAGAGATACATACACCGTTCCACAAGTTATTGTCTGGAAACTAGAAAAATGCTTATTTGGGCCCCTTTTTGGCCCCTAATTCCTAAACTGTTAGAACTATAACCCCCAAAATCAATCCCAACCTTCTTTTTGTGGTTATAAACCTTGCGTTTAAATTTGATAGATTTCTATTTACAAATACTAAAGTTATTGTCCGGAAACCAAATGTCTTCGGACGACGCTGAGTACGACGACGTGATACCAATATATGACCACAAAATTTTTTGAGGTCGTATAATAAAAATCATATTTTTTAAGAAGGTTACAAATGAGATTATTATATCATTGCATTTTTTGGCATTTGGACCCCCTGAAGATCATGCCCCTAGAGGTAACATGAAAATTTTGATACCCTTGATATAACTTGACCAAATGTGATTCAAGTTTCATCTTTTATCCTAAGTAGTTGACAGAAAATTTCACGGATTAACTGTTTATCATGAAATTCTTGTTTGTCCATTATGCTACCCTTAGAGAAAGTATTTTACAAAACCAATATTCTGGCCAATGGTAGGAACTACAATTAATCTTGCACAAGACCCAACACAGGCTGAAACAATTATTCTGCCCCACAAATGCTGGGAATAATTGTGTATAAAGTGAGAAAAAAATATTTCATGCAGCACTGCTGAGCAAACCAAATAAGACTCTTTAAGTAACAATCTAAAATGAAAATTAAGTCTGCAAAATATCCTCCTGCCTCTCCTCCCACCCCCTAATTCCAATCCTTAATTCTATTTTATAAATTTCCCCTGTTCATTTTAAGCCTCAGACCTTGTCTATGATTTGTTTTGGAAACTGGCCCTGCATTGGTCTGTAATAATCGTGCATTCATAAAATATTTTTAGTTGTAAGCAAAAGGTAATTTCTTCCAAAATATTTAAATAATATCTGAGAATAAGCTACTAATAATCCCATAATCATTAAATTATGAGGTCTGCATTAAAATAATCAGTCTAAAAAGACTTAATCATCACTAAAAATCATATGTTGAGACTGAGGTTTTATTCAAATTAATGTTGATACTGCACAACAAAAGATTCACTATTTTCTATACTAATTTTGTTTACAAATTTCCTGCCCACTTTATTATGACAGTGATCCTGTGTACCTTTACTATAAGAGTCCTGTTTACCGTTAGGATAGCCGTGTAGGAGATAATTTATCATACAACTAGGTATTATTGATAAAATACTATAGACATTAGCTTCCGATAAAGTTCCACGATCAGTGGATCTATATAGTCCTAATGCTATAAAAGTGGAATAAGTTATATGTAATTAAATAGTGTGGTGAATACCTGGAACATGGTCTAAACTTCTTCATTCATTATATAATATATAATACATTTGTAGTGAAGAACAATACCACAAAGAACTTATTGAAGTATGAAGTGTTTAACTGGAATAAGACAAGAGAGTGTTAAAGGTTATACTGTTATTTGACTTATATGGATAAATAAACTTGTAAATACATTTTCAATCAGAATATTTAATTAACTGAATCACAAATTTTACCATAAAAGTGGAATTAGAGTGTATCATAAATTGAATGAAAATATAATTGTGAAATTGAGAATAATGTTTTCTTTACAGTAGATTAAACATGTTATCTGATAAAAGCGCCTAAAAGTACTTTATCTCTTCCAGAGTGATTTTATCCTGATAACTTGCACCAAAATGCATAAGGTCGGGTTCGCATACATGTAAATACTGAAGAAGAAGAAATAGTGTTTACTGACTTTATTTACTTACGTCAGGAATTAATAACAAGGACATATACATCCATGTTGTGTTTATAGGTGCAGTACTTTTCATTATGATCAAAGTAAACAATTCAAATGAGACTTTTTTTAAAACTTTACAAGAACTGAATGATGCCGAAGCTAAACAGAGATTACCGACAGTGATATACCTTTCTATACTGGTAACCGTTGGTATACTTGGTAACAGTATCATTTTATTAGTATATGGATGTAGATACAAACCAACAAACTTTAGATGTTATATATTGTGTTTGGCTGTATTAGATTTAACAGCATGTTGTATTTCTATCCCATCAGAAATTGTAGACAATGCTTTCCCATATATGTACTATAGTGAAGGATTTTGTAAATTTTCTCGTTTCACTGGAGATGTTGCGAAATTAGGATCTGCATTTGTTCTGACAGTGATGGCTGCTGGAAGATATAGAAGAATTTGTTTTCCATTCAGTGAAGAAATGTCTCTTAAAATGGCAAAAATGTGTTGTTTCTTTGCAATCTCATTTTCAATACTGTTATCATGGCCCACTGCAATTATCCAAGGACAAAAGGTCAAAAAATTTCCAGGGAATGTTACAGGTTATGACTGTTCTACTGATGATGATGTGAGAAATACTAAATACCCATTCATTCAAGCTACATTATTATTTGTCATATTTGTGCTGATTTTTGGAATTCTAATATACCTGTATGCTAAAATAATTTGGGAATTAAGGGACCATTTCAGAATGAATCGTCTCCTAAAAATTGAGAATGGCAATAACGGTAAGAAAAGAACTAAACATACAGTGACAAAAATTTTCTTATCGATAACTGTTGCATACGTTATTAGTTACATTCCACATTTAACATTAAATGCTATCACAACATTTATTCGTGGGGACATTTTCCCACCTAGTCCAATTGTACTTGGAACATTACCACTTTTGTTCAGATCTTATTTTGTTAATAATGTTGTTAACATATTTGTGTATTATGTAGGAGATGCTAGATTTAGAAGACATTGTAAAAAGCTACTGCAAATCGTAATAAGTATAATTTGTCGCAAGAAACTTCATAAGGAATTACAAATTGATTCAACAGAAATCATGTCACTTGGATAATCAGTTTTTAATGTCATTATTTATATATTAAACCTTTTTTTCTATCAAAGCTTGTCAACAATGTAAATATTCAAGCCATGGGCTGAAAATACCAGGTGCTAAAGGATTTATAAGAGCAATGACTGTGATTTCAAAAGTGCATTTTGTATGAAGGATTGACAACTTTCTTTTTAAAATAAGTTTTTATCATAGTTTATGCAGGTAATATTTTACCTGGATGACAGCTGTATAAATGTGGTACAACTCTCTTCTTATCTCCAAAAACCACTACATCTATTTAACTTTACACATTCTTATAACTGACTATCCTTAGTTTAATAAAACTTAAAAGTTTTCTTATGCTAAGGAAAAATGATTATTCTTTAAAATTAAATACCGGTTAATGATTACAGAATGGTGTAAGTGTGCAAAGAGCACTCTTAAAGAGGGTAGGAGGGGTTTTCATACCAAAATCAACATTTATACTCCATTATTTTCATGACATTTAGATACTTTCTTAATTCTTTTTGTCAAACAGAAATGTATTCCAAAATGGTTAATCATAGATTTTTCAGGATTGAGTGGTTTTCAAAGAGATAATTATAAATAACCTCAAAATTAAAATTTCAATGAAGTGCAAATTTTTTAATATGCTTGTAACAGGCTTTGGCAAAACCATGAAATCAAATTTCCAAGAAAATACCACTTTTCCTCAATCCACAAAAATTGGTACCCATGAAAATAAATGAATCCACAGTAATTAATCTCTTCAAAACTCCTCCATTGATAAATATTGATTGATAGAATGCTACATGGCTAATTGTGGTCAGTTTTCAATATGAATGTGCATACAGCCATTTTATATGTTTTAGCAGAGATAAGAATTTCTGTTTTTATTACATTGAATATTTAAGAAATTCTTGTGAAGAAAGTACTGTCGTAAGTAATGACTAACTCCTTATTTTTATGAATCTAAGTATTTTTGGTGTTTTTCTGTGAGTTAAGTAATTGATTTTTGTTGATATTTTCCAGTAATGAATATTTGTGATATTTTTGTTTTGATCTCATTTTTGTTGTTTTTGACAAATAAATGTTTTATATTGCTGTTCAAATTTTAATTTTCCAAGCATTCTATAGTAAGAGCATAATGTGACTGATTATAGTACCTGGAAATTAACTCAGGATGTTGATACATGCAATTTTTCAAATATTACTACACTTTCATTATAGACTGTTTCCTCTTAAATTAGTATAAATAAAGGAAACAATGAAACAAACACTTAATTGAATTTGCAGTCAAAAATACTTCATAAAAAAGACAGATTTTTTGGCAATTTCCTGCTTCAAAGAGACAACGTACACTGCACCATTTCCTCTTTTAAAAAATTACAAATATTATTTTATGCAGTTTATTTCTCATTAATTAATAATATCATGATTTTAAATAGTACTGGTATTTATTCCATACTGTAGTTATCATGTGATTTTTCATAATAACTTAGCATTCATTGTCTGTCTGGTACTTCTTTTAAAAAAAAACTGTTAATGCAAATGAGACTTTGCACATATGTTACTGATTATTACTCTAAGAGCAGACATGATTCATCTGTTATTTTTTTTCCAGAACAGCTAAATCAATTGCACATGACCAATCAAACCCAATTATAAAAGAAAGATTATTTTGTTACTTTCTGAGTGCTTTATGGTGGTATACATCTGCAAATAAATCCAATGCAAGTAAGGGAGACACCACTATATTGGATTTATTGTTTGCTTGTTGCTTAGCATCCAGTGGCAAATAGTTCATGCATGTTTCAGGATAATTGGAGCATATGGGAAATATGTAGAAAAACTCATAGAGTGTTACCGTATGCTAAACCCTGTGTCCCTGCCTGTGATTGCTGCTGTCAGTGAAAAAGTGTAATCTTGACTACATGAAAGTCCATTTATCATGAAATATAAAATAAAACATAAGAAAAAATCTCTTGATTATAAAGTAGCTTCTTTCCAAATTTTGTAAAATTGCATGACAGTTTGACAAAGTCATTCAAGTTTTAAAATAATTTTTCTTTTGTTTCGTATAATTCTTGAAAAAAAACTTCTGTTTAGAGACCTGCTTTACCAGTTGAAAACGGATTTGGCATGTGAGGTACTATTTGAATGCTGCAACCTATATGGACACTACCAAGGTAATTACTTGAGACCAATGAAAAATACGTTGAAACATTACACCATCTTGATAACGGTGGAACCAACTTAAATGATAGAAAAATTTCTTGTGAGGTTGTGGAGGTATCTTGGTGTGGTTTAGTAAATAATTATAGCTGCCATTGAGGACTTAAGTTTTATTCTGGAGAGGTTTTTAAAAAATAAAGAGAAATGTTGTTCCTGAGAGCAGTTACATATACTAAATCACATGTGGTTTGAATATAATAAAAATTTGTAAGGGTTCCGTGGAACCCAGTGTCTCGCCTACTTTTTCTGTTAATCGCAGGCTCAACAAAAATGAGGAAGTAAATCAATAAAAATATTCCTCTTGATACAATACCTTTTGATTGTAAGAAGCTTCTGTCCAAGTTTGGTAAAAATCCAGGATAGTTTATGAATCTAATAAATGTTTAAAAACTTTAACTGCAGACTGAATGTAATGTTAACTGGAAGAAAACAAAATTTCCTTCTAGATACTAGCATTTGATCATAAACAAGCTTCTGTCCAAGTTTGGTACAAATCCAAATTAGTATAAGAAAGTTATTAAAATTTTAAAAACTTTAACCACAGAGTGAATGTGTTGTTTCCTGGCAGAAAATCTAAGTCCATTTAAAAGTGAAATACGGAAAAAATGGATTTATTTTTTTACAAAATTTCCTTCTAGATACTAGCTTTTGATCATAAACAAGCTTCTGTCCAAGTTTGGTACAAATCCAAAATAGTATAAGAAAGTTATTAAAATTTTAAAAACTTTAACCACAGAGTGAATGTGTTGTTTCCTGGCAGAAAATCTAAGTCCATTTAAAAGTAAAATAAGGAAAAAATGGATTTATTTTTTTACAAAATTTACTTCTGGATACTATCTTATGATCATAAACAAGCTTCTGTTCAAGTTTGGTACAAACCCAGGATAGTTTAGGAAAGTTATTAAAATTCTAAAAACTTTAACCACAGAGTGAATGTAATATTTCCCGGCAGAAAAACTAAGTCCAATTATAAGTAAAATACGGAAAAAATGGAATTTTATTTTTACAAAATTTACTTCTGGATACTATCTTATGATCATAAACAAGCTTCTGTCCAAGTTTGGTAGAAATCCAGGATAGTTTAAGAAAGTTATTAAAATTTCAAAAACTTTAACCACAGAGTGAATATTTGTGGACGCCGCCGACGACAACGACGACGACGACGGAATGTAGGATCGCTATGTCTCGCTTTTTCGACTAAAGTCGAAGGCTCGACAAAAATGATAAGATGTGGTATGATTGCCAATGAGACAACTCTCCACCAGAGACCAAATGACATAAAAGTTAGCAACTATAGTTTTCTGTACTGAATTATTTGTGAATAACTGACTGATTGCATCTTTAATTTTAACAAAAAATTAGTCAGAAGACACCAAATGGACAATAAAATTACAAGGGTCAAAGAAAATCCAACAAAACTATGGCAAATAGTTAGGAAAAGACAAACAACAATCTAAATAACACTACATAGAAAACTCAAAAACTGAGCAACACAAACCCCACCAAAAGCCAGGGATGACCTCAGGTGCTCTGAAAGGGTTAGCAGATCCTGCTCCACATGTGGCACCCATGAATTAATAAAATCTGTACTATAGGAAAAGACTTGTTCTGCAGTGTACTTTAAACTAAGGATTTCCTAAACTGAAATAAACAAGGCTGCATGATGATCCTTGATTTGATTTTAAACATATTTTATTCATTAAGATATGAAAAGGATTGAGCAACAGGCACAGCCTATAAAAGCTCTCTCCATACTACATGTACAAGGTATAAATCAAATATTAACAACTGTATTTAAAATAAAATAATATAGTGGAAAATGAATGCTACTTATGTGCACACACAAAACAAATACATATTTATAGTGTTAATTACAGTACTAAATGTATAGTATATTTAAGTATGTAGGCAATTAATCATCATTCATTCAAGTACCTTAAGACATGTAAATATATCCTTTATAAGTCATTAGAAATATAGATATAAGGTTTGGAAGAGACACTAAGCTTACTTAGTTCAATAAATGAAAATAATGTTGAAAAGGGAAAGAAATGAAAAAAATAAAGACTAAATAAAACAGAAATTTCAAAACATTTTCAAACAAAACAGTGAGTGTCACTGATATATTGCTGAACAGTTTAAAAATAGCAATATTCATATCATAAGAAAATAATCTGTTTCCAAAAAGTAATAAGTCAATATTTATGTCAACATTATCATCAACAATTGAGTATATGGAATCAAGTAAGATCTGTCTTACATCATTGTACTTAGAGCAAATAAAAAAGAAATGCTGGTTATCCTCAACAGGGTAATTACAGTTTGAACAAATAGTGTTCTCTGATAAAAATTGATTAAATAAATGAGATTTTATGTTCCTAGCATTATTTCTAAGTTGTCAATGACTAATATAATGTTTCCTTGTCCCATAATTAATAGGTTTAAATATGATGATCCTTATTAGCTCAAGTAAGCCTCTACTGCACATATTTGAAGATATAATTTACCATGGATATAACTATCTTTATAGCATAACAAAATCACTACTAAATAAGTACCTATATTGTTTGAAAGTATTCTCTATTTCTGCCAAAAGAAAGCTCTTACAATAATTTCATAAAAAATATTGACTTTTGCATCTAAATGTAAGACTACATCTGGTAACACATGGAGTCTGTTGCTATTATGGATAAACTGCACAAATTGTTTTTCACAATATTTGTATAAGAAGACAAATCGGGTATTGATTTGGAGTATAAATACCAAATTATTTAAAATCTTTACCTAAATCAATCATTCATCTCTTTATTAGGTCATAACACATACAGTGTTGGGCATAATCTGGTAATTATACAAGCAAAACAAGGTTTTATTTAAATTATGCTATCGAAGTACAAGCTTGCAAAAAAAAACAATTTTCCTTAATAAACAAAAGTACTACATAATTAAATTATCAAAACTCAAATACTGATTGATTGATTGTTGCATGCTTAACGTTACTAGAAATACTGCTTATCAATGAAAACTCGTTAATATATATAAGAATAAAAGTGTAAATGTCAATGAGCCAGCAACCCAATAACACAAATCAACAAAAAGGAGACATCTAGAGGTCACAATATACTAACTTAAGTACAACATGTTGCTTGAAAAAAAGCTTTATGACCAATAATTTTTACTACATTTTTGAAAGTAGCATGCTGTAGATTTCATTTTGGCAAAGTCAAAGTCGCTGGACCAGTAAGCTAGGGGACAGGGCCTGGAAATAGTCATCAAACTGATTTGAACTGATAGTAATGCAACTTTATAAAAAATATCATTGATCTATCACACGTAGTTCCTATTTAACTGACAGAAGCAGAAAACTTAACATTGAAATCACAAATTAATTCAAAGTCACTGGACCCTGACCTAGGGGGCAAGGCCTCGAAATAGTTGTCAAATGGATATGTACTGATAGTAATGCAACTTTATGTTTTGTTCATGACGCTTAATTTATTCTTTTTTGGGGTTCACGTCTATATATATATATATATATTGGTGAGTTTTGGTAGCTTTTATGGGCCATTCAGTTACCCCACGAAAAAAGATTCTCGGAACGATCATTCATATAGGTAGTTATCTATGTCTTTGAAACGGTCCCTCTATCAACAGGCTATCATGTGACATTGTAAATTATTTCAGAGTTCATTTGTAGAATAAATTTTGTAGAGTAAATAAATAAACACTAGACTGTAGCAAAAAATATCATAAAAATATTCCAACACTGACGATTTTGTGTGAATGTTTATTAAATATCAAGTATAATGATAACGCAATTATATATGTTTTGATACGGTCCCTGTACACATTGTGTGTATCATTTAATA